TATTATAAGGTATGTTCGGTAAAAAAAAAAAAAAAAAAGAATGTACACTTTTGATAAGGAATAAATACGCTACTCGCGCTATTGAATGTGTAGGTCTCACGAATCCACACGATATTGTGTAAAATCTATGTAATAATGTGTATACTTTTTGTGATGAAACGAACAAAGCTATTATTGTAATTGCATGATGGATGTTGATCTGACAAATGAAAAAAATAATAATATCTCCATAGAAATCCGCTCAAATATCCATTAAATATATGTAGGCTCGTGACATGGCCGATATAATACATTTAATATGGAAACCGCGATTAAAATAATTTAAACAAACGTGATTGTGCTTTGTGCGATTGAATAAAAAAACAATAATAATTATGATAGTAAATAATGGGGAAAACAATACAATTATAACACATTATAGATAATTCGTATTGTATCGTGTTGCTTCGTGATAAGATCTGCAATGTCGAACGTGTGTTTCAAATAGTGCATAATAGTTTCGTGTAACTAGACACGAGTTATTTAAATCAGAAGTCGGAACTCGAACAAAAACAACGGTAAATTAGAGGAAATTAAAAAAAAAATAAATATTTACAATGAAAAACATTTAGAAAAACAGGGCGAATTTCGCACCATGAGTAGGCCACTGTTTAAAGTTTTAAAAACATAAAGTGTAAACAATTTGATTTATAATCAGTGGATGAAAATCGCAATTTTTAATGTAGTATTGTAGTTCACTAGGTATAACTATTGTTAAATGTCTAAAAAAAAAAAGGCGTTCCTTACAATCGTATCTATTTTTTTTGTACTTAAGTGTAGGAGCAATGTATTTACATTTGACGTTTCTGAAGGAAAGGAAACTATATAGTTACATATTATCGTATTTTCCTATAGAATAATATAAAAATGATATAATTCTCTGTATTTATTTTGTATAATTATATACAATATTTCGTTCAAATTACAAATTTACTTTGGTAAAAAGTAGGGCTTAATTAGCGTATTTTGTGCTGTTTTCCTATGAAAAATTTACCTAAGAGAAACCGTAAGTTATAAGGGTCGCTACAAAAAGAGAATCTACACATAGCTCGCTATTTTCAACCACTGGTTTAACATTATACTGAATTAAAAGGTTGTAATAAAAAAAAAAACGATTTTGAGTGGATTAATATTAGTCGTATTTTTTACATTGTTTCCAAACGGTTGAATTTAGTAAACAAAAAAAAAAAAAAAAAAAAAAAAAAAAAAAAAATAAACAAAATTGCTTATAAAAATATTACGATAATGTAAAGTAAAATACTAATAACAGTATAGCTTATCCTTATCATCAGAATCGTTGTTTGATTATAATTATGTATTATTGTTGGTTTCAGCTAAAAATTAAATTACCCTATTTATCCTATACAATTCCACTTACAACAGCAGCCTACCCATAGTGTAATGTGTGTCTGGCTTTTTCAATGAGTATGCTTTTTTTTTGTTTGTACAATATTATAATTAACTGATAGTAATCCACAGCACTCTTGCAAGTTTATCGTTTCTATAAGTCGTTTATACGACTATACAAAGATCGTTCCTAAAATTAGACTACAGAGCATTTCAACATTATAATGAAAATAATAATAATAATATTTTTATCGTTGTAAGCTTAAAATTATTATTATATGCCTTATTTTATTCTGACTTCGTGACGTACTGTAAACCGCATTTTTAATTATTTTCATTACTTACATTTTTTTTTTTACATATATACTCGTATATAATATATTATATAAATAGAACGTAATGTTTTTTAGATTAAAATACATTTATTATTATTATGCACAGTAGACGCCGGAAAAGCTCCGCGCGCATAGCTAGTCGTCGATGGGAGCAGAGGGTCGCCACTTGGCAATTTATAATATAATATAAACAGTTGGCAACGTCGAAATGTTTACTGTGCTAGTATAATTACTTCTAGTCGTCTAATCTTATAACATTATTATATTCATTATAATTTTATAATATTATTTTCAATCTATACTACAAATCTTACCGCTTTAGTATAATATGATAATTTATAATATACTAAAACTAATCTTATTTGGTGATGACTTTTTTACCTCGATAAACAAGTTATACCATAATATATAGGTATAGGCAGTAGGCTTAGGCAATTAAGAGCTGTTTATGTATGCATATTATTTTACGATTTGAGTATTATTATTATAGTAAAATTTCCGGTTATTTCTTTAACTACCAGTTACTGAAAGAATGTTTTTTATACTAAACCGTATATAAAAACGTTAAATACATTATGTTAAAAAAAAGACTCAATGGGGTTAGAAATGGTTAATATAAATGAAACATAAGGCATTAAAAAAAAAAATAATGTAATTACTGCATTCATTCGAAATTCTTCTAGAAGGATGCAGCTGTTAGAGGGGTATAATAAGCTGGGGTGGCTAGGCCATCGAGCCACCGGGAAACCTCCTGACAGGCTGTGTTAAACATGGATTAGCAAACATATTAAAACTAGTAGAGGTAAGTGAATAGCCGAAATAAGTGACTAATTGAATCGTATACATCACGAGAAATGATTTAGTTCTTCTGTTAGCTATAAAATAAAGTTCTAGGTGCTTTTAATAAACCGTTAAGGACTGCAATAAATTATGTTAAGACCGTAGGGGTCTATACAAAATTGTCAGAGACTACAGTAGTGCGTAGCCTATGGGTTGGTCGTAATGAGCCGTCAATGAGGACGATTTCAAGGGAAAGTGTTTTCAATAGAAAGTAATAAGCTGAAACGGAGCCGCTATGTAGCTTGTGGGCGGTGGAATATGTAATTCCCAGACGGTTTTTATAAGGTAGTCCTAATCCTGGTAAAAAATATAGTTACAAAGTATTTCAAGAAATTATACATAATTAGGTTTTCTAAATATAATGGAAAGTGCATTTTTTAAATTTATTGTAAAACATAGTTTTGGTAACACAAAGTTTTAATCATATAACAACAAATTCAAATATGAAACTTAATTTAACTATGAAACTTTTATTAAACATTGTTTGATGTTTGAAAATTGTTGGGTTAAATTTTTTCATGTTTAAAGGTTTTTTCTTCATTTTTGGTTCATTTTACGCTATTTTTATCCATTTCTATATAAATTTCTTATTGTTTTTATTTTACTCAATCTATATTTACATCATCATACAAATATTTACCAATGTTTAAAATATTTTACATTGCATAGGAGTAAATATATAGGTAAATACAACGTTCATGAAATGTTTGATTTGTCACAATTCGATAAGATAAGGTTAATCGTGGTCATCAATTATAATATATATATTGTGAATTTTCGAAGTTAAAAGCTGCAGGTATCTATAAGCAATTAAGATTATTTTGGTATTGTAAATTAATATTTTAGCGTTTTTACGCATTTTAAAACGTTTTATGGAATATTCAATTTAAAGTCTTACTGTTAATTTAAATTTAGTTATTAGATTGTATTTTTATTTTTATTGATTTGTTTAACAGTAAATCGATGAAAACAATTTACTACATTATTTTACGGGGGGAAGGAGTCAAAACCCTAAACCCTTCTTATCTTCACAAACACGTATTTAGCCCCCTCCTACCATTAAAAACCCTTGCTACGCTACTAAGCATAGGGTGTTTAACGATTATTGAGTTTTTGCCGTTAAAATTATTCTACTTGAATGTAAATTCGGTTGTCATGGTGGGTCATTAAATTATTATTACAAAACGCCACAAATTTGAGTCTTGTACGTCATAAATTTGATAACATATGTATATTGTCCGTTGGCCAGATAACTAGAGTATAACGACCTAACAATAATACTAATAATAGCACCAGCTATTACAGTTTACAAAATTAAATAGGTACCTATTATTATTGTGTATATAGTGTATATGTGTCAATCGATTGTCTTATTGTTTAATATGTTTGATTGCAAATAGTAATATATCCTATTGATTTTATGAGTTCGGTGACATTAGGTACATTTTGTTATCACGGAAAACATCATAATATTTTGTCACCGTAAAAAATATTCGTGTACCTACTGCAGTTACGTACTTACGTCATGAACCCTACGAGTCACTAACCCGAAGTCTATTAAAACAACTTGCACATATAAGTATATAACCACTGAATTGTAAGATACTAAGATAATATAGTATGGCGGTATATATAACATCACAAAATAATTATTAAAAAAGCCAGACGGGAAAATATCTATATATATATATCACATACAATAGACAACCAGGATTAAAAAAATACCACGTCTCCTAGCTGGACCAACAGACGTAGATCCCATTGTAACGCTATGTATTTTATAGTATACAAATTTGCATACAATTTTTAATGTGTCATTTTCAAGTTCAAACGTGGTGTGTCAGGAAGACGGTACTCATAATCCGGTATCATTGATAAAAGATATAGGCCACTGTTGTAATTAGAAATTTAAGAAGCTATAATCTTATACAGGTATATCCACCAGATAACTTAGGTGAATATGGTGATTTAGTTTCAACATTGCAGCAATACCTAAATCATCAGTGGCAGTATTTAAGGGAAAGGAGACATGAGATTAAAGTTGAATCGAGAATGATGATTCTTCTGAGGTGGCAAAATTTGGTACGTACAGATAACACACAAAAATATTAAAAACATTAAATTAGTAAATAGTATTATAGTATTAAAAAAAGCAACTTATAAATTAACTTTTAACTAGTTACTAACCGCATTGGTAAAAACGTCCAAAGCTTAGTTTTCTTGATGTTATAGCGTGTTTCAAAAAATCAAAAGAATTCTATAAAATATATATTATATATTATTTGCATGAAAAAATTGTGTATTGAACAAATTATAAAGTTCTTTTAAAATTGTTTTTATATCGATTTTAAAAATTAGATTTATATTTCATTTTATGTCTGCGACCACTTTTATAATGATTTTAAATTAATTAATATTTATTTTATAATATAATATTAATATTAATACATCATTGTTTTATTATTAAAACTAAGAACAAAAGAAATAAAAGTGTAGAACTCTTAAGTGAACAGTAATATTAATAATTTACTCTGTATATTATTTTAATGAATTACAATTTAATAGTTTTCACTTCGGAATCCGTGTACTAATGTACGTATGTACGTAATTGTATTTGTCATGGATATTTTAAGATTGGTTGTGTTTAAATATAGCATATTTGAATTTTAATTTGATAAAAAAATATATTTTTTTTATTGATAAAAAGATTAATATTACTAATTTTGTGGCAGTAGTCATTAAATATTAATCCGATATTTTAAATATTCAAGTAAAAAATACGTTTATGAGTATAATGGGTAATTTTCAAAAAAATAACTTTTAAAGTTTTAACTTAACTATAAGTAGTTATTTTCCTGGAAATTTATTTACTTAGTTACTCGAATTTATTTATATTTTAAAATTAACTTTTATTTAAATTAATTATATTTTGTTTATAATAACTTGTTAAACAAATTAGTTATCTAGCCTATCTTTAAGTTTTATGTATAGGTACTTTTGTTAACACCCCCGAGCGAAACGAATACAGTTTTTCAGAAAGTAGTTAATTCTCGATTTATGTTTTACGATTAAGGGTGCTTAATACGAAAATGACTAAATAATAATTAATAGTACAGTACTACAAATTTAGTAAAAATAGATGAAAACATAGGAATATATCGGGAGTATTGGGTATATGGGAATATTGGGGAGGTCTTGGACCTCCCCGAGCTACGCCCTATCGCCGTATCGTGTGTTTATCCGACACCGATTTAAACGAATAATAACATAGCATAATAATAAAATAATAATATGGTCTTCATTATTATTTCATATTTATCATCTTTTACCCGTTACTTTTGGACACTTTTAGCTGCTTCGTTTTAGACCAAACTCGCGAACTAAAGTTATTTTATAGGTGGATTGAAGTAATAAAATTTGGATTGAATTTTCTATATGAATTTCACCGGGTTTTTGCGGGAAAATGATGTTATTTTTGGTTTTAAACACCTCTACAAACCTCCAAATGAAGCCAAGTGGATGCAATTTTATATATGTATAGCGTTAATATCAAGAATGGGCCTCTAAGAGGTCTCAATTTTAACTGTCACTCCTATTATTTTTTATGACCAAATTTTACCAAATTTTTTTTTTTTTTAAATTAGTATACTTAATATTGTAGCATAATATGGTAAAGTATATTGCATTATGTACAGTATTTGATTATTTATTGTTTTTAAAAGAATATTTCTATAATAAAAAATAGGTGAGAGCAAATACGATTAGTAACGAAGCACTGCTGCTATGGGTGTTTTTCTTTTTCTATAGAAATTACATTATAATGTTATTTATAAGTTATCATATTGAAAAATGAGAAGTCCTGGTGGATCATATAAATAACGATAATTTCAAGCTCAGTCTCCAGGCGTTTAACATTGAAGGTCTCTTTTTTCACAACAAATTCATAATATTTTAAGTTTATGGAAATTTTCAAATTCAAATTGTATTTTTATTCCGTTCAATGACAATTGTAATTAATATTCGTATCTTTAACTTTGCATCTGAAGCCTATTATTAGCTTATGAATTAATTATTGCTAATTTAAAAACGTAGATACTGACTGGCTACTACCTATACATACATATATATATATAATAAATATTAACACAATAAGTAATGGCCACGCATATATTTACTTCAGTATTTGCATTGATAGCCCGCATTTATGACCATAGAGAAACCTCTGCTAAAAGAAATAATAGATGAAATTATTATGAAGTTTCAAAAAGAGAAAATAAAAATTATGTACAAAGTATACAAATTAGTTAGATATGAAATATTGTATTTTAGATTAGAAGCGTATTGAGGAATATGCTGGTTTTACAATTTTATCTGCAGGTTGGTACTGGGAGGTCATTTTTTGATTTTCCAAGCGGTTTGCATAATAATTGGGAAAATACATGTGTAAAAGAGACTTCGCTCCGAATCGTTTTTCTTTAGCAATGGTATATCGTTGCGTACAGATTAAATTATCTTTTATATTCTACCTTCCTAACTTCTCACCTACAAAGATGGTCCCACCCGTCGTGCGAGTATGTCTTTTTATTTTTACATATCATAAAATTAGTATTATATATAATAAAGACATATAACATATTAAACATTTTAAAAAAATTATTCTATACAATTATTTCATTTCTATCGTTGTTATTGTTTTTTTTTTTAACCTAAAATTTAGTTATTGGTAATAATAATAATAACAGTATAAGAGGACCTAAACCCGGTAAACTCTTCGCGGTTCTGGGCCCTTCTTTTCCGGTTCCGATTCGATTTATACTAAAGGAAAATATAATAAATGTTCAAAATAAAAAATAAAAATATAGTTCGGATGATAGTTAAAAAAACGTGCGGGAAAGTTTTCCAGCAGAGTACTTATGTTACGCGTGACCTTATAACGTGAATAACAAAACAACTACGACGTAGATTTCGGGATGCGAGGGTGAATTATTAATATTTATAAACTTCCGTCGTGGTAATAACACAGCGGGTAAACGGTGAACAGCGTCAGCAACACAACAACAATAATAATAACAAAAAAAACGAGCGGCGGCACCGGCACATACACCGGGCTACAGAGCTGAGACGCGGCGGCGAATAGGTCACGTAGCCGTACGGCAGCAGCAGCTCCGGTGCGACGGCCCCGTCCCCTCCCCGCAGGTTTGTAGACGAGACGGGCCTGCGCGCGCGGCCGCGGCAAGTCCCCACCGTCCGGACGACCTTACCGCGGTATAAAACTCGACTGCGGCGGCGTCCCGGACGGAATCGTATCGATTGTATTATTATTGTTGCCGTCGAAAACGCGAGCGCCGCCGCCATCGTAACTCTCTCTCGTAATTCTCGTTCTTGGCCGCTACTACTGCTACTACTACTACTACTACTACAACTTACAACTACTGTCTACTACTCACTAGTATCAGCTCTGTTCTCGTGGTGTTCTGTTGTGCGCCGTAGTACGAAGTGCACGTCCTGTTTTTGAGTTTTCACGATTCAGTGTTGTTAACGTCATCATCGCCTGTTTGCCGCGTAGCCTGAACGTTTACTGCAAATAAGTTGTTTTTTCGTTCTACCGCCGGACTGACAGCCACACTAAAGTTATTGTAATCGTCTACGGATACCGCGTGGAACTGTATTTTTTCCTTCAGTCGTTTCGGCGACAATAATGCGTGTTTCGTACTCTGGCTACCGTTTGAAATCTATCGACGTTAATTACGTGTCTCGAGTCTTGCAACTCAAAGGCTGATCGTGTATTCGGCCAACACAACCTACTTGCCAACCCACCCACTCGCCTACTTACCGACTTCTCCGGGTTCCCGTCTTCCTTGATCTTCCCGCACCGAGGATCCACCCCGCCGCCCGGTACAATACACCGGACGCTGAAACTGGACGTCTAGATTGCTGTTAAAGTACACCTACGGTGGTCAAAGTGGACGCGTCACATTTCTTGTGCACCATCACACTGGCCAACAAATTGGACTACGTCGTCCGAAGAAGACCGATTGGTGGCATGAGGCCAGATCTGCAGAAGCTCATCTATCACACATCGTCGGATCACTTTTCAGAGCTCGACGCCGCTGCCGTGCTTTAGTCCGTCCAGCAGCCAGCAGCATACACAACATTAGCATACAACAATAATAATATTTTAATCTCAGCGAGTTTGTTAGTACTGCCGTCATAACCATGGCGTTCACCGGTCTGAGGCTATCCACCAAAAAGGACTGGCAACGTCAGTCGCAGTCCGAGTCCGAGGACGATGACATGGTCGGAAGGAAAGATCTGATGCCGATCGTCATGTCCCAAGGTTAATAATAACATTAAACATCATATGTTAAATTATCGAATAACTTAAAAGATACCTATAGGTGGGCCACACATCCTTCCCCCAAGTGGGTAATTACGTAGATAGATACTTACATAATACACCTAGTTTATTGTTGAGGTTATACCGTCCACGGACTTGTCGAATATAAATATTGCGTTATTAGCGAATGTACGCAAAGTTCTGACATTTTAAAAATTATAACACCGTTGGTCGCTGATAAGTAGGTTAGATATACTTTTTTGTGTGGGTGATCCAAAAAAAAAATAAAATATATAACTTCCCTGTTGATAATGTAAAAAAAGCTACTACTTATTATACATTTGGCCGAGTTCCAGCGGTTTCAAAATTGACTGTGAAATAATTTAATCGCTTGTGTACCTACCTAAGTTAGGGCAAGTTTCTAAAGAAATCTTGATATTATATTGACAAGCAGACATTTTATCTATTTTGTTTAATCGTATAAGGATATCTACCTACTTAATATTTATAATAAATGTTGAGAAATCAACTTTAAATACTTGCCTTGGTAAAAATACAAATTAAAGTAATATTTTTAGGTACCTTTGTGGTGAAAAAAAATTTAATGTTCTTAGAAAATATAATCATTTTAATTTTAAAAATAAAATAATATATTGTAATAACAATTTTCTTAGAATAGAGTAGGTATCTATGTTAGTGGTAATTATATTGATTTCTACTTACCCAAGTAATTTATTTAGTCATTTAATGAGTCAACCAGCCAAAAAATCTATTTACAAGTGTTAAACTGAACATTGGCCAATAAATTATTATTGAGCATACATAGCCAAACAGTGTTTTAGGTATCTTTTATGCTTATCTAACTGTCAGAGTCTTGTGAGTTAGTAGTTACATTTATTATTGTTGAGTATTAACATATTATTTTGTATGCATAATTTTTTAGTCGGCAATCATTTTGTTCCCTTGGTTATAACTATGGTTGGTTTGCCAGCGCGTGGCAAAACTGTACTTGCAGATAAGATTCAACAATATCTCAACTGGACAAATCATAAGGCCAAAGGTATGTAAGATAACCTATGAAAAAAGGTTCAAGAGATAAATATATAATTGGCAACATACCTATATAAAAAAAAAAAAATGATTTATATGCAATATTTTATTTCAAAATTTTAATGTATTTATATACAACGGGTATAGTATTATGTTATATAAAAATAATACCCAATGTATATTGTGTACAATATATACCTACATGAATTTATTTGTTTTTTCTTTTATGAAAATATTAAATTATTAACTGTTACATAATAATCACATGTTAAATTATTGGAGTAAATTCTAAAGTTTATTTGAAGGGCAATACAAAATGTATCATGAAACCAATGTTTCAAGTATTAAAGCATTATTAATGTTAAACCTAAACATAATTTTAACTTGAAAATATCTTTATCAATGATTAAAAGGTTTAACTATGATAAAATTTATTCCCAATATAAATTCTATACAATTTTCATTCTACANATTGAAACCTAGTTAATAATTTAAATTGCCAATATCATATTATTTCTCTGAAATACTACTTCTACAGGTACATAAAAAAATATTTAATATTTTTTTTACATAATATATTTGTAAATGTATGTTGATTTTTAAATTGTTTTATTTACAGTGTTTTGTGTGAGCTCATACAGGCGTAAACATATTGAGTCGTATAGTAGCCATGACCTCTTCCGTAAGGAAAACAGTGAAGCAGCTGAGATTCGTCAATTAAGTGCCCAAGAAGCACAAGATGATGCCACAAAATGGTTACAAGATGGAGGAGATGTAGCTGTAAGTATTTAGTTACCTATCCGCATGTATTAATGTACATTTTAAATGACATTTTTTTTTTTTTAGATCTTGGACGGCACTCATATTACACAAGCTCGCCGTCAAGCAGTGTATGATCATTTTTACAAAATTATGGGGTATAAGGTATTATTTATTGAGTGTGTTTGTGATGATGAGATGCTCCTGGAACATAACGTTAAGGAAGTGTTGCAATTCAGTAAGGACTACAGAAATATGTCTAGTGAAAAAGCTCTTGATGATTTTCATCATAAGATTGAACATTACATGGAACAACATGAACCCATGAAACCTAAAACTGATGGCTATAGCTACATTAAATATTTGAATGGAGGTAATACACAAATTTTAAAAAATAATGACAATATAATTTTCTACTTTTGTATTAACTTTAATAATTCTGTGTAGGAGAATCACTTACTGTTTGTCGTTTGAATTATCCTATGCAAAGTGAAGTACTAGCTTTTGTTTCAAATTTCAAGCCATTATCAAAAACATTTTATTTTTCAAGAGTATGTAAAGATTAACCATATTTATTTTTTATTTTTGGTAACTTAATTTGATACATTTATATAGCATGGTGAAAGTGAAAACAATGTATTGGGTCGTATTGGTGGAGACGCTGATTTGTCTGTCCGGGGTCGCACATATGCTGCAGCATTGGCACGTTATTTTAACAGTGATGATCGTTTAGAAGATTTACGTGTGTGGACAAGTGAATTGAAACGCACTCACCAGACAGCTCAAGGTATTAAAGCACCAATAGAACATGTACCTGCTCTCAACGAGTTATACGCTGTAAGTACACTTTTTAATTGTGTATTTTATATTTTATCTTATAATAAACAATTTGTTTTCTAGGGTGTATGTGAAGGATTGAGTTATGAAGAGATGCAATGCAAATTCCCACAAGAATTTGCTTGGCGCGATCAAGACAAGTTGCAGTATCGTTATCCATGGGGAGAGTCTTACATAGATATTATGACACGATTGAAGCCAGTATTGTTGCAACTTGAAGGTGAAATAGATAACTTGTTAATAATTAGTCATCAAGCTGTTTTGAGATGCCTTCTTGGATACTTTTTGAACAAAAAACATGGTAATAGCACAACATTTACATTTTTATTCCAAAACATTTATTTACTGTCTAATGCCTCTTATAGAAGAATTACCGTACATTAATGTACCTTTACACATTATTATTAAGTTGACCATAAATGGATACAAATGTAAAATGGAAGTGATTAAGTTAAACATAGAATGTGTGGATACATATCGCATACAACCCAAGGTTCGTTGTATTTATAATAAATTTAAAATAAAAATTTATTATGTTAAATAAAACTATTGGTTTAATTTTATAAAATAATATTATTTTAATAATTAAAATTTATTTTAGAACTGCTCCATCAACCGTTCAGCTGACGATGCTCTACTAACAGTGCCAGCTCATTTTGAGAATTTAACATTGTGGAATCATCCTCCAATCGTTCAGCTTTGAACATAATCCAAACATAATATACGATTAGATATATTTATATGTTTATATATTTACATAGACATCCTTATAAAATACCACAATAACCTTAGATCTTTAAAGTTTATTACGGAATGGCATTTAAAAAAAAACGGTTTAATAATATTGAAGATGTGGTATTTAATTTCATTCATAGAATTTCAAACCTAAACAATTTTATGATAAGAGTGAAATACTAATGATATTAGATTATTATTGACGAAAAATTGTTTTTGACATTAACAAACTATGATACATATTAATGATTAATATTAGAGGTATTTTATTAATTCATAAGTATTGATTTATTTGGAAGTATACAAACTAGATAAATTCATTTGGTGCCAAGCGTATTAAGTACATGAAAATTTATGAATTTCTATAGCAGGTCTATTACATATATATTTATATATCATATTATTATTATTAATTCATAATAATCTAAATTCTATTCTCTAGTTTTAATGCTGGTTGCATAGTATTTACAATATATTTAATATTGTTAAAGCAGATGTTTAAATATGCCAATATTAAATTAATGAGCGTCTGTGTTTGATCTCTAATATTATGTTTATACAATTTCATGATCGCACAAAACACAATATTATTGTCCCGCTAATACATGAATAAGTTCCTAAGTAGGTAGCAGGAAAATTGAAACTATGTACGACGATAAAAAAAAACTATGAAATCCATAGATTTTTTAAATGATTATAATATTTGTTATTTTTTTTTTTTTTTTTTTGACAAACTATTCTATTCTTCCATTTTAATTATTAATAATTATTAGACTAAAAAAAAAAAATATTTTTGTACTCTAGTTATGTTTGATTTATTATTTTTTTTACTTTTAATTATATTATTCATTGTTATTAAAAAAAAAAAGTTTATAGTTATATTTGTAGCTCCATATAATATTATTTTTTTTTTTTAGTATGGATATTAAGTGATTTAAAATAATAAAATATGTATTATGACATAATAAAATAAGGTACAAATGTCCATTAATACTGTCTTCGTTTCCTTTCTCAATGCATTTTCTAGTAAATATTTTCAATCCAATGTAAATTAATTTAAATAATCCTATATGATTTTAATAGTAGAGCTCACATTTTAGTTTCTAAAACATAAATTAAACCAATTATTTATTTTAATTGATTTTTAAGTAGCTATTCCAAAGAATATTTATATATTTCAAAAGAACTATAATAAGTTTTAACTTTGGTTGAGCATATGGTTTAGTTGAATTACAATTTGATAAATTAGTTTTTATTAACTCAATTGATTACCTACCTCTTATACTATAACACAATATGTTGTAGTTTTGAAATATGATCAATGCATACATATTATTCATAATTAGTTATTAAATTTCTAAAAGAATTCCAGAATATTTTACTGCCATAAAAATAAATTAATGTTCTCATATCTTCTGTTTATTAATAATTATTCATAGTATGATAAATTACATTACTAAAGTACATTACTTACAGTTTAAATTGTTAATTGGTATTCAATTGTTATGAGTGACACCTATAAGTATTTTTAGAAAATAAAAACAAAGTAGAATTTTGGCATTTGTACAAAAACTTTTGATGTATTGGCCAAAAATATGACAATCTTGTACAATTTGATTTCAATAGTAAACATTTACTATCTATGTGGTATTTTACATTGTTAATATGTAATTGTTAATTTTAGAGTTGATTATAACTTGATTATATCCATAGAAGATATAATTTAGTTTATACAAGTAGGTACTCTGTATTAATTTTCATAATACTTTAATTTATGGTTTACTATAATATAATCTGCTCAGATAGGTAGGTATTCTATTTCAGCATTAGGGTTTTGTAGTTAAAATGATAACATAACCATTTTAAAATTATTACCTAGTTTTGGAAAACATTGAAAATTTTCCGATTCATTCATGGTATTTTAATAAAAATTGCATGCAACATCTGCCTAGTAATTAGTACTTTATAAGAAAAATAGTTCAGTAGTTTATCCCCTATGCCTTATTTTGTTGTTTTGTAGGTTACTTCGGAAACAAGGGACATATGAATATTTTACTACATTACTACTTTGTTAAGAATAGGTTATTTTCGTTTGCAATGATCTATTGCTGCATAGTACATACCGATTATAAACTAAAATAGAGTTATACAATATACATTTTATACCTTGCCAACTATCCACCTGCATCAGTGGCCTCCATATATAAACTCTCAAATTTTGATTCATAACCCCCACCCCCACGGAAAATAAATCCTGGTTGCACAACTGTAGCCAAAATTAAAGGAGCCTCAGGGCGGTGTGTTATTTGGGTATAACTGATCGGCTTGCTATGTCTTGTTTAAGTCACTGGGATTTAGATCTAAATAGGCCAAATTTGTATATTGTTTGTATATAAACAAATGAAATTAAATAAATATATTATTATTATTATTATTAAGCATTTATTTTAAGAATAATGGGCCCCACTGAGCTTGCTCATGTGGGGAGGGGGACCATGGGAACTATCGTAAAATTGTTTAAATTTTTTTTCTTAAAGTTAGTTGTTAACAAACTTCATGGTAGAGATTAAATATTAGAGAATACATAAAAATGAATAAATGAAAAACAGCAAGCAAAAATAAAAAACACAAAGTAAACATATATGAAAATACAAAGGGAAAACCGTTATTAATAATTAATATACAGAGTAAAATTATGACATATTAAGAGAGTATTTTTAACAAGTCTCCCATTTACTGTATAAACCATTCCTGTAATTTTACTTTAAAAATTTTGAATTTTTCACCAAGTAGCTCTTGTGGAAGTTTATTGTATATAAATGATCCAAAAACGTGTGTGACAATTGGGTGATGGTTTTATGTATTTTGGGAATGATAATATTATTGATTTTATATCTTGTGTTAAATGTGTGGTTTGTTGCTAACGTTAAATTATTTTTGACCATGAATATAACAGTTGTTTTATAAAAAAGTTTTTAAGTAGTGAAACATTAAACTTTGAATAAAGATTGTTGATATGGTATGAATCATTTTTTATTCAAAATGATCGTACATTATTTTGTGTTATGTGGAGATGACGGTTTGTTTTATCAAACACTACCCCAAACACTTTAGAGAGGTAATTTTGCGATTTTCTCAGGACTTTTCCCAACAAATGTTAAACATCGGGAAAGCATAACTATCAAATGAATTCCACTTTGAATAGTCTTTTCGTAAGCATGGTTTGCTTACAGGTAAACATTAAATTACATTTAACAGTAGCTGCACCAGTCACGATTATCCAAGGACATCTATCTATTAATACATTTTTCCTTGAACTAACAAATGTTGTAAATCAACTAAAACTATAATAGCTGTTAACAGTCAGCAGATATTATGGTATAAAATAACAGTCGTCAAATTTTGTACTTGGAAGTCGGCAAAATTCACTCCAAACCCCCTGAAAAATAAACCTTAGGATCAGGGCCGGATTTAGACCTCTGGATGCCCGGGGCAAATGTCTTTTTGAGGCCCTTAACAGTAAACTCTCTATATCAGTCAACTGGTGAGCATAACCATTTAGTTGAGAGTCAACAGAAAATTAAACGATACAACTTGAGAGAGAACTGTAAATTTCATGAATTATAAGAGTTATAACAAGGGCAGTTTCATCTACAAAATTAGTAAATTTTCCGCATTTTATAAGTTCAAGGGCTATATTTTTAATTTTTATATTCTTTAGTTTTGATAGTAATATTATGTGGTCAACCGTAATGAAGGCTTTCGTGAGGTCCAAATAAACTGTGACACATTATTGTTGTGTGCATTATAAATGTCTTTCATAATATTGGAAATTGCTTGATCTGTACCTTTTTTTAGGTCTAAAATCAAATTGAAATGTTGATAGTAAATTATTCAACTATAGATATGGTTAAAGTTCATGTTTAATAATTTGTTCAAATATTTTTAAGATATTTGATATCGAAATAGGTAGGTAGTTTTCGATTTTTTGTTTGCTCTCTTTTTTGAAAGTTAGTGTGATTATTGTTGTTTTGAATACCTCGGGAAAAATACTTTTAGAAATAGATGTGTTAAACACATGCGAAAGTAGTACAATCAGCTTATTTAAATTAGATTTGATCATGTCATTTGTATTTTGTCATATCATGGTGCAGAGTTGTTTTTTAAAGATTTAGCGGTTTTTGAGATAGCATCGTTGGTTGTATATTTAAAACTATTAAGGCCTTGTTATGTGTTCAATGGAACGGGTTTATTTTAAGTATATTGATTTGTAAATATCGTTTTACGGTCTATTATTTTTTCTGTCATTTTCTTTACAACCTTTTTGATCAACGATAGTGGAAATGTGATATTTTGTTTATTTCTGTTTGTTGTTTTATTAATTGGTTCCCAGCAACGTTTGTTTTTATTTTAAGCTTTCAGTGTTTCCGATACTCAATTTCTTAATTGTTTACAGTATGATTTTAATGTGGTATTTTCTGGATGATTTTTAGTTTGTTTAAAAGAATAATTATCTTTGAGAGAAAAATCATTAAGACAAATTGTTGATCCCATTTATAACCTTGACAACAGCTGTGGTAAAGATAGTCAAATAAACAGTTGAAATAATTTTTCAAAAAGGATAAATAATTAAATTTATAAAGACACTAAAATGGAATAGTTAGGAGAGCAGATCATTATATGGTTAAAATAGTTGTAATTCAGTAAAAAATCATTGTAGGGATCTAAAATTTTCACAGAATACTAACATTGGACTTTTCTAGACGTGTTCATATGTTAAAAAAATTGACGATTTTTGAGTAATTTATAAACATTCGGCATTTGCTGTTTTTTTTTTTTGTTTTTATTTGATTTAAAATGAATAAAATTGTTTGGCTGAACAGAAAAGCTTAACAATTTAATCAGAATTTCTGATTCAAGTAGATATTAGAAAATAAAGATGTATTGAAATACACTCTCCTCATAAAAAAATTACGATCATTAATTATAGATAAGCGATGATGATGACTAAAACGATTTTATTTAAAAGGTATTATTATTTAAGTTATTCACGGACAGATAAACAAAATACGAATTACAATAATACCAGTACGTTTCTGTATTACATATTTCATATGTGGTATCGATGTAGTCTGTGTTTATCAGTTCGATTGTTTAATCAAGTAACGTATTAAATATTTTCTATTATAAACCAGTTAAAAAAAATCATTTAAATTTTAAACTATAATAGGTATTTTTCATTCATTAGCTGTAAGAATTTATAATCATAAAATAATCGAAAATAATGTAATTATCATACGTATATTTAATAATTTTTAAATCTCGTCCAGTTGGTGCATTGAGAACGGTTATTATATACGTTGTAGTCTACAACGGGCTATCGCCGCCACCGTCGACTCGTGTCATGGGATCCTGGTACACGGCTCGCGGTTTCGACGACGTCGTCATCGCAGGCTCCTCCCCCGCGGCGTAGCTAACGTCGCTATCAAAGGTTAGCCGCCGTGTCGGCTAATACCGACAGGATAGTAAGCAGGTGGTAGGGTAATGATGATGGAAAATTAATAAACATAAAGTTATTTGATTTAAATCTGTAATCAACGATCAACCATTGCAAACAAAATGCGATTCTGAGCGAAGTTCATACATGTTTTGAAATATAAATTATAATTATACTTATTAATTGAAATATATATTTACGATTTTCGACGAAATTTCAGCTTAAAACGGTTATAAAAAAAAAAAAATTTAAACAAAATCATTAGTGTTATCATCTCTTAATTATTTCAGCCGATTGTCATATGCAAAATAAATAAAATAAGATTGCTAACGAAATACGAGTCTGAGCGAATTTCAATTATACTTACACGTTTTGAAACGATGTACCATATAATATTTACGATTTTCGATGAAAAAAAAACTACTACATAATGCTTCACTAATGCTACACCTAGATACGATCAATTATTAAGAAAACGTTTTTTCCATTAATTATGAAAATCAAAAATGACTTCCCTAAAGTAAGTAGCATCGCGGTCAAATTTAATTTCAGAAAAAAACGGTACACTTGAAAATCTGAGCAAAATTTCACGTCGACATTTGTTCTCAAAATTAAAAAAAAAATTAACATCATTGTAAAATCAATAAGTAGGCACATTCCTCACTCCGCTCAAAATCTAAAAACGTTTCGTAATAAAACCAATCGATCACTTGCTGCTACGCTCATAATTTTAAAAAACTAAATAAGTAAAGATAATAAATACTTACCTAAAATAATTCTTCAAAAATTATAATTGTAAAAACGTAGGTATCATAATGTAGAGTTTTAATAAAATTATTAATAAATACAAAACACCACAATTTGTGAAAAAACACATTTCAAAGAGTAGGTTTTTTTTAATTTGACATTACGAATGATAAAAAAAAAACAAAAAAATCAAAAACAAGAAATTTAACGTTCGATAACCACCATGATTTCGTTTCAAGAGCTCACGTTGGACTTGTAAAAAAAAATACCGAAAGTAAACCCTAATTTCAGGTAGACAATACGGGGAAAAGATATTTAAAAATGCGAAACTAGAAACTCGGTAATTACCGTGAGTCAAACCATAAAACCGACAAACTTTAAATCGCTAATTTATCTTCCCTAGCGTTAATTGTTGATATGATGATTAACAACAACCGGTTCTTCTTTATCGATACACAAATTTTTATGGTACCAGTAATCAAACTAAATTTTTAGAAAAATCCCCGAATTATCGGGAAAAAAATTCTACATTCGATAGAAACTTACCAATAACATTATCTTCGTCTTTAAAGACACAACATTTAATTATTCTCTAATGTCTACTAAAAATATAGTCTTATACTATACGATAATAAATGTGTGAGCATCAATTCGTATTATTTTCACATTATTAAATTAAACCAATTTAATAAAAAGTTACTCTATTTGGGTACTTAACAAAATAAAAAAAAACTGTTGTATGAAACATGTATTTTATGCGGTTATTAATTCAATTAGTGAATACTAATTAGTTAAATATAAAATTAAAAATAATACGAAATCATGTTTTTCAGCCAGGATTCATATTTTATGGGTTTTAATCAATATTGATATATTATAGCGATACTAATACTATGGTAATTTTAGGATGAATCACTCTAGCTGGTTAATATAGGTCCACTAACCTCATCTGTGACTGCAGTTTGGACTTATTACTGATCATGCCAAATCTGAAACATTAAAGAAAAAAAAAATTGAATTACAATTGTATACCAACTTATAAATATGAAGATGGGTTATGTATAAGAGTTAAAAATACAAATCAGAAAGTGTTATAGCAGAAAATCATGTTATTCAAAAATATAAAATATGAAACAAATTTTATCCGAAAATGTAAAATAATATTCGTTTATAAATTATTAAAATTAATTTAGATGCAGTACTGTTTGTAAAAAAAAAAAGAACTGAGACTGGAACGGATGCCATTATTTTCTTAGATTTTCCCGTTCTTTGTACGTTTTTTTTACGGATTTGATCAATTTTTTTTAAAAAAAAAATAAACTATAAAGAAAGAGAAATAAAAGAAAGATTTCTTGTCGTTTTTTCATTAGAGTAGTATATCTGGTAGAAAACATAAACCGTAAGAATTTGAAATAAATTAATCATTACGCCGTCATAATTTATTCAGTTTTATTGTTTGTCTTTTTCCCGATTTTTCCAAACTATTATGAAAATTACTTGAAACATCAAAAAATCACTTTGGAAACAACTAGATTTGAAATTAAACAGAAAAAGTCTGTAACCCTTATTTGATTAAAGCAATATTTCTAGTAGAAAACATTGTTCATAAAAATTAAAAAAACCACGGATCTGTCACATATCTGCACTTATATGACTAGAAATTATTCATAATGTATATAGATACATTATTATTTCAAAAATGATAAGAGTGTACAAGCATAGATAAAATATACTTATATTAGTATATTATTTAATCCATGGTATAAGCAGTAAAACATTCTACAGAGTTGATACTCTTGGACGGTTGTATGCCACTGCAGTGCACTGTGCCGCCGCAACCTACCCACGGTCATGGGATCCTGGTACACAGCTCGCGGTTTCGACGACGTCGTCATCCTAGGCTCCTCCCCCGCGGCGTGGCCAACGTCGCTGTCAAAGGCTAGCCGCCCCGTGCCGTCATAATACAGAATAATAAAAGCTGATACCACTGAAGGGTGCTCGCCTGGTTTAGGTGGTTGTAGGTTGGCAAGGTAGGATACAGAAAATAATTCCATTTGTATACTTGCTAACGAAAAACGATTCTGGGTGAAGTTATGTTATGTCATATTATTGTAACATTTGTTATATTTGCGATTTTCGTTAAAATTTGATTATTTTAAAATTCTTATATATATAAAAAAAAAATACATTTTATTACTCGATTTTTTTTTTTTTTTTTTTACCACTTTGTACGACCTATAGCTCTAGCTAGATGTTCAAACATTTCGATTTAGTCTAACAATTATATCCACAGAGTACCTACCGAATAAAAACTCCGTCGAAAACTTGCTAAAGTAAAATGTCTTTAAATGGTTTTAAAACAGGTTAAATGTTTTGAACATTTTACCACGTCTAGAAAAGGGAAGTATACATTTTCTATCGCTTTTTCTCAAGTTTCTACGAATATTTTTAACTGAATTACAACAAAAAAACATAATCGAAAATAATATAATCATTATTTACGAAAATTTTCCCGTATTTCTTAAGTTTTAACTCGGATTTGGAACAAATCTAGTTTACGACCCGATCCAGTTTTTCAAATTTGTGTTTTTGCATTAACATTAAGAATCTAAAAATAATTCGGATAAAATTCGTTTGGAAGTTATGTCGGAAAACTTCATAAAGTTCGAGTTTTCCGTTTCGCGTATTTTTCAGTGAGAATTTAAAATTTAAAAATTTTTTTTTTCCAAAATGTGCGATTATTTTTAATGCTTAATCCATTGGTCCAATCAAAACGTATCTATCATACTTATTTTTATAGTAATTGTACATGACCTTGAAAAATACCATTTTTGGAATTAATGTGGTCGAAAAAAGAAATTATTTTTATTAATATTATAATTTTTAGTTATTGGTATTTTGATAACAAAGTATTTTTATGGAAGTCAGAATAAGTCAATCTGGTTTAGATTTAGTGTTACAAACGTTCAAACCCGTCGTGTTTCGTATTTATTTTAGATATAAAAATGTATAGAAATTCGAAAAAAAAAAAGGTAGGCCAAATTTATATTTAAAAATATTTACGTTTCGCTACCGGCGTAGGTTTGCCGGTAGCGCAAACCTCGGTTTCGCGATGGAACCGGAAAATTTATACCGCTGTCTTACACGAATCCAAAAGCGTTTTTTTTTAAAATTTCCTTGTTAATTTACTCGGAAAACTAACATATAGGATGAAAATGTCGAGTACTCACTGTGCCGTCACGGTCCTTAACTGGGCTGTATATTTTCCGACAACACGCCACTGTTTTTTTTAATCTCGAGTCTTGACGAACGACGCAGAACGTCGTAATATTCGCGACGGTATTTTGATAGAAAAAATTGCACCACAACGTCGCATGAAAAATAAACGGTTGCGCGTTCAAGTATCGTACGCGGACACGGACAAACACTCGCGATTAAAGCTCCGAAACGACTGAAAAAGTGAAAAGTGAGCCCGGTCAGAGCGTCTTACGAGCTTAATCGGTATCGTCGGCGATCCAATGGGTTGACAGCGTTCGCATCAAACCAATGGACGCGTTCCAAAATTGGGACCGGTCCGGTCGTATCAGTGTGGGCGAAAATAAATTCACGATTAAAATATGATTATCCGCAAGGCCGCAACTGGAAAATAGTTTCGGGGGACGGTACGGGGTGTAATTGTTACAAAAGATGTGCGATGTTCTAATTTTATTGATTAAAACATTAATTTATTCACATCATATATATAATACAACAAATTTTCGGGGGTTTGAACCCCCAATACCCCCGATTAGCCACCTGTATACATATAATATTATATAAATAAGGCTTGGAAAAGAAATTGAAAGTGTCGGTACTTTAACTGGAATCTTTTTCGATTTTTTTTGAAAAACGTAACCGGAATCGTTATTGTTCGTACATAATCTATTGGTATTTTCGGTTCCAATTTTATGTGGATAAGATTTAATTTACTTGGTCGTGCATTTTGATTGGTATTGTACATATGGTTGTACCTACATGAATTTATAAACTTACCTGATATTATTATATATTGTTAAATTGTATTCTATAATCTATACAAGTTCCATTCCATCGATAAAATATGCACAGTTATTAAAATAAAATTGGGTATAAATATATAAATTACGTCTTGATTATTTCCTTATATTCATCTATAAATAGTTATATATAGCACTGAACCTTTCAAATGTAAAACTAAAGTTGATATAACAGGTCTTTTGTTCTTATCGCGACTGAATGACAAAATTTGATATTTAATATTTATGTAGTACTATTGTGTATCTATAATAATATTGAATTAATTTGTTTTCAATTACTTTCATTAATTTTACAAACAGATACCTACCTAAAGGTTCAGTATTCACAATGGGCCGCACAACTGTATCCATCTTCTATGTATACCTCCATAGCCCATAATATGCTAAGGAAACTAAAGAATCTGTATGTAAAGATTGAAATGGAAAAGTAAAAGTAAGTTGAATAAATAATACGTAAGTACACCTTTGATTTTATATTTTAAAAGTTCATGAAACCCACATGTAATGTCTACGTCTTACAAACGTAGGTGACATCGATTAAGTTAGACATAACTAATCAATTTGGGTTCAGCTGAGTTAATTTTTTGCAGTTAGCTCAATTCATTAGTATAAATATTAAGTAAAAGATAAAAGTAAAAATCTAAGAAGCAACCGCCCAGGGGTTTGATGAATTTTTAAATTGTGATAACTCATTTGGCCGAATCAAACTTGAAAATTTAAAAATCGAAAATAAAACTTTTATCGTTGCACAGATATTATTCTTATCTTTAAGATAGATTTATTATTCAATTCATTCTAATATTGAAACTAACAGCACAAATTTGTCCCAACTGAATGTAATTTGGCTAGGTACCTGGATTACCTATGTCGTATATTTGTATGCAAGTCCAATTAACCATCCGAGTAGGTACCTAGGTAAAAGTATGTATAATATGATCAATGCTCAAATTGGAGGACAAAGAACTTCTAATTGATTTTTTTTTTTTTTATTGGTACTAAGGGACAATAAGTCTCTTTGCTAATAATGATATTTAACCAAAAAAACATTATCAACTCAGATATAGCCAATATAAGTAGGTAGGTATTCAATATATATTAGATTTTTGAGAATTTAACATTTTAATATTATAATATTCAATTCTAAACAAAATTAATACAGCATATTATTATTCAACTATAAGTAATTATTATAATCATTATATTTTCAGTACTTTGCACTTTAGTAGTTTTATACTGTGTGATAATAAAATAAACTAATTTAACCAAACATCTAAGCATTATGAGAAAACAAGAAACAATTTTATAAATGTATGGGTAAAATAAATTGCTACTTATATAGCTATGTAATTTTATCTATGGTATAAACACACTTAAAATAAATAAATACCTATATAATCGAAAACAGCTTACAAGAATTAAATTAAGTATTTTTGTTGGTTTTGATAAATTACTAATTATTGAATTATGTTGAATTGTAGAGGGCATTAGTTTTTTTTATAGTCAGTAATGTTGGGTATAATCTTTTTAAACATAAATTTTTTTGTCGTCCTATTTGTCCTGTTTGTCGTTCAACTAAAATATTCTTTAAATAATTTAAAATTATGGGGTACAAGGTATTATTTATTGAGTGTGTTTGTGATGATGAGATGCTCCTGGAACACAACGTTAAAGATGTAATTTTTTTTATATTAATACACTGTGAAATATGGATCAGTTCTATAGGACCCATATGCAGCCTCTAACTTATTACAACTTGAAAGAGTTCAGTGTACATATTTAAGTTGTGTTTTATTCACTCTTAAAATAAGACAACAATCATATGGTTTCTTCATATTGGTGGTACAAAATGTTAAAAAAAATTCAAATACCTACCTGATTTATATGAAATATTTTAATTCAAAATTTTAATGTATTTATATACAACGGGTATAGTATTATGTTATATAAAAATAATACCCAATGTATATTGTGTACAATATATACCTACATGAATTTATTTGTTTTTTTCTTTTATGAAAATATTAAATTATTAACTGTTACATAATAATCACATGTTAAATTATTGGAGTAAATTCTAAAGTTTATTTGAAGGGCAATACAAAATGTATCATGAAACCAATGTTTCAAGTATTAAAGCATTATTAATGTTAAACCTAAACATAATTTTAACTTGAAAATATCTTTATCAATGATTAAAAGGTTTAACTATGATAAAATTTATTCCCAATATAAATTCTATACAATTTTCATTCTACATCTGATATTAAATATTAAAAACAATTGAAACCTAGTTAATAATTTAAATTGCCAATATCATATTATTTCTCTGAAATACTACTTCTACAGGTACATAAAAAAATATTTAATATTTTTTTTACATAATATATTTGTAAATGTATGTTGATTTTTAAATTGTTTTATTTACAGTGTTTTGTGTGAGCTCATACAGGCGTAAACATATTGAGTCGTATAGTAGCCATGACCTCTTCCGTAAGGAAAACAGTGAAGCAGCTGAGATTCGTCAATTAAGTGCCCAAGAAGCACAAGATGATGCCACAAAATGGTTACAAGATGGAGGAGATGTAGCTGTAAGTATTTAGTTACCTATCCGCATGTATTAATGTACATTTTAAATGACATTTTTTTTT